GTGTGGGTGTGGGTGTGGGTGTGGGTGTGCGTGTGGGTGTGGGTGTGGGTGTGGGTGTGGCTGTGGCTGTGGCTGTGGCTGTGGGTGTGGGTGTAGGTGTGGGTGTGGGTGTAGGTGTGGGTGTGGGGGTGGGGGTGGGGGTGGGGGTGGGTGTTCTCTTCTCATACAACCACACCCACACCATCCACACCCACACCCACCAACACCCACACCCACACCCCACACCCCACACCCACACCCACACCCACACCCACACCGAAATGGTCGACCTGAGTAGGACTTCCTGTTCGCCTTTAGTAGCAGCTCATCATCTTAATGAATGGAATAGTCCCAATTCCGGGGAAAACGATGATGCGCAAGAGTATCTAAGGATCCAAGGAATTTCTGTACAGGGGAACTTCCGCAGGCATCAGTACACGTAAGATTAAAATTTGAGCCCCAATGGGTATCTTCCAGGAGTAATACTTGAGGACCAAGGATGCCTCTTATAGTAGCACTTTAGGAGCCAAGGGTACTGCCGTTTAATAGTACTTGAGGGTGCAAGGGTACCCCGAAATCCTAATATTTCAAGGGCTAAGGGTACCCAGCAATAGGAGTACTTGATGACTCAAGGGTACCCTCAGTAGTAGTACTTGGTGACCAAAGAGTCCCCCCAATAGTAGTACTTGATGATCTAAGGGCACTCCTTACTAGTAATACTTGATCACCAAGGGGTACCTCGAATACCGAACTCCGGAATGAGAAAACCCGGGAATGACCAAACTTGGGAACACCGAATCTCCGGAAGTTCGGGCTCGGTGCATATCTCACCCACATCCCACACCCACCAAAGACTGTCATTTTCGACGCGTCACTTTTTAACATTCGACGTATGTGGTGAATGATAGATATTGCTTTGAGAATAAGTCATAATACTAATTCAAATATTCGTTGAGAAAAAGGTACCAATCAGATGTAATCATTGATGATTCAGAAATTTTCCGTCACAATATACACAGAAACCAACACGAAACAAGTGTTCTTTGTTGTGTTTGCCACGGATATTTTTTATTTTA